ATTTCTAAAGACCATGAAAAAAATGAGAATAACGATAATAATAATGCAAACATTTCTTATATACCTACCGTGTTTCAAGCACTGTGCTAGAGAAGTTATAAAATTTAGATAAGGTATTTTCACTGTCCTCAAAAAACTTACAGTCTAGTGCAAGTAGGGTATGAGACATGAACAGGGGTAGTGATCACAACGCTAGGTGAGAAGCATATTAGAATTATAAATGAGGAAAGTTTATTACCAGCCAAGGAGATCAAGGAAGATTTCTAGGAAGAGTTAATTTGGGTTTAAAGGGATGGGTAAAGAGGGGGAAGGAGGTGATTTTACTTATGTGGAGAATAGCTTGAATAGCAGAAGAGAGTAGTGCATGTCTGAGAGCATGTTTGGTTGGATCAGAGTACAGGGAATGGGAAATTACCAGTCATAGGCTTTCCACACTTTCAACCATGGGTAGGGTTGTAGCTACCCCCCAGGATAGGAGGTATGGCAATTCTAGCATAGATCATTCACATAAAGACTATATAGAGAAGAGGAAGCAAGTCCCAAAGTGTTGCTCTAAAGAGGCATCATGTGGTGGAAGGGTCCCTGGGTTCTTGAGGGGTATGCCAGGATAGCACAAACTCTCGCAAAATCTACTGAACTTGGCTGTGTGCATACTATCAGAAGATGAGCCCACGAGAGTGGAGAGATTCTTTGCCTCTCTAGTTGGTAGTGCTTGGTATATAATAAGAAATGGACAAAACCATTAGCTGACCCTCAATCTTGAGTGGCACAATAGTTGCAACTAGCAATGTGGAGAGACGTTGAAGCCAAGACTCCAATCAATTTAATTTCCTGCTCTCCATCCTCTTCCCCCAAAATCTACTTGAAGAAATTACAGGATATAAGAGGTAGGTAATAGAGACAATGAGGTGTTGAATGATAAGATCTAGAAGCAATTGAGACGTTTTGAGGATTGGTTCAAGGTCACAGAAAAGATAATATACCTGTCAGCCAGAGGGGTCAAGGACAGAGCTGTGATTTAGAACCCCAGTAGCATTCTCTTTGTTAGAGCCTGCTTCTGAATCCACTCCCCTGTCTCCATGGGGGAAGGGAAGTGAATAAGCATTTATGTAGTGCCTACAAATATTATCTCATTTGATCCTTACAACAATGCTGTGAAGTAGGTGCTGTTATTATCCCCATTTTACAGTTGAGGAAAATGAAGCAGACAGAGGTTAAGTGACTTGCCCAGGATCACATGCCTAGTAAGTGTCTGAGGCTGGATTTGAACTCCAAGCCCAGTGCTCTATCCACTGAGCCACCTAGTATCCATGCTTGATGAGCCAGCTGTGATGAGAAGCAGTAGGAAAATCACTGGCTGTAAGAGCTTCAGTTCTCACTGGGTCCTAAGTCCATGCTATGATGCAGGTCCAGGGTTCCTGAATCTTCAGATTAGCCTGACTTCATGGCATGAATTAAACAGTAGTCAGGAGGTATGTTTTATTTTCTACAGTCCTTTACTGTCTTGAAGGAGGGGTGGACATTGGGAACTATGCAACACGTACTGTGCTTTTTCTTGAACTCCTTTGGATCTAAGATAACCTGAGGGTGAGCAGCCATCTGGTAGATGTCTTATTATGTCCCATTTTATTGCTTTGATTGTATCTATGCAAAAAGCAAAACACTGTTTACAATATTTAAGCATTCCTGTCCATTCCTGGGGGAAGTTGACTCCTTTATGTCATGGTCAACTGATTAGGACTTAATGAAATATAATGCATTCTGGGAAATGGAGGGAGCAGTTTCCAGTAGCTGGGGATTCAAAAATGTTCTGCTGTCCATTACTATAGAAACTATTTGGAAAAATTGGCAAAGAAGGAGTCCTACCAAATTCTTTTTATGATACAAATATGGTGCTGATACCTAAACCAGGAAGAGCCAAAATAGAGAAAGAAAATTGTAGACCAATTTCCCTAATGAATATTGATGCAAAAATTTTAAATAAAATATTAGCAAAGAGATTACAGCAATTTATCACAAGGATAATACACTATGACCAGGTGGGATTTCTACCAAGAATGCAGGGCTGGTTCAATATTAAGAACACTATCAGCATAATTGGGTCATATCAATAATAAAACTAACAGAGATCATATGATTATCGCAATAGATGCAGAAAAAGCTTTTGGTAAAATAACAGCACCCACTCCTATTAAAAACACTAGAGGGCATAGGAATAAATGGAGCTTTCCTTAAAATGATAAGTAGCACCTATTTAAAACCATTAGCATTATCTGTAATGGGGATAAGCTAGAGGCTTTCCCAATAAGATCAAGGGTGAAACAAGGATGTCCATTATTGCCACTGTTATTTGATATTGTACTAGAAATGTTAGTTTTAGCAATAAGAGAAGAAGAAGAAATTGAAGAAATTAGAATAGGCAATGAGGAAACAAAACTATCATTCTTTGCAGATGATATGATGATATACTTAAAGAATCCTAGAGAATCAACTAAAAAAAAACTGCTTAAAATAATTAACATTAGCAGAGTTGCAGGATATAAAATAAACACACAAATCATTGGAATTTCTATATATTACTAAAAAAGCTCAGCAGCAAGAGATAGAAAGAGAAATTCCATTTAAAGTAAATATAGACAATATAAAATATTTGGGAGTCTACCTGCCAAGACAAACCCAGGAACTGTATAAACATAAATTACAAAACACTTTTCACACAAATAAAGTCAGATCTAAATAGTTGGAAAACTATCAGTTGCTCATGGGTAGGCCCAGCTGATATAATAAAAATGACAATTCTACCTAAGTTAATTTACTTATTCAGTGACATACCAATCAAACTACTAAAAATTATTTTATAGAGCTAGAAAAAATAATAATGAAATTCATCTGGGAGAACAAAAGGTCAAGAATATTAAGGGAATTAATGAAAAAAAAGGGTAAAGGAAGATGGCATAGCCGTACCAGATCTAAAACTATATTATAAAGCAGCAATCATCAAAACCATTTAGTACTGGCTAAGAAACAGAGTGGCAGATCAGTGGAATGGGTTAGGTATACAAGACACAGTAGTCAATGACTACAGTAATCTATGGGTTGATAAACCTAAAGATGCCAGCTTCTGGGATAAGAACTCATTATCTGACATAAACTGCTGGGAAAACTAGAAAAAAGTATGACAGAAACTAGGCATAGACCAACATCTTACACTGTGTACGAAGATAAGGTCAAAATGGGTACATGATTTAGACATAAAGGATGATACCATAAGCAAATCAGGAGAGCAAGGAATAGTTTACCTGCCAGATCTATGAAGAAGGGAAGAATTTATGACCAAACAAGAGATAGAGAACATTATGAAATGCAAAATGGAAAATTTTGATTACATTAAATTTAAAAGGTTTTGCACAAACAAAGCCAATGAAACCAAGATTAGAAGGAAAGCAGAAAGGTGGGAAACAATTTTTATAGCCAGTGCTTCTAATAAAGACCTCATTTCTCAAATATATATAGAACTGAGTAAAATTTGTAAGACTACAAATCATTCCCCAATTGATAAATGGTCAAAGAACATGAACAAGCAGTTTTCAGATGAAGAAATTAAAGCTATCTATAGTCATCTGAAAAAATACTCTAAATCATTACTGGTTAGAGAAATGCAAATCAAGACAACTCTGAGGTATCACCTCACACCTATCAGATTGGCTAATATGTCAAAACAGGACAATGATAAAGTTGGAGAAGATGTGGGAAAGTTGGAACACTAATGCATTGTTGGTGGAATTGTGAACTGATCCAACCATTTTGGAGAGCAATTTGGAACTGTGCCCAAAGGGCTATAAAACTGTGCATACCCTTTCATCCAGCAATGCCACTACTAGGTCTGTATCCCAAAGGGTTCATAAAAAAGGGGAAAGGACCTCCATATACAAAAAATATTTATAGCAG